AAGATCCAGTTCCCTTCTGCACTGCAGGCTGCGAGCTGTGCTGCGAATGCTGCACAAAATACAGCACCTTGCCTGACCCGGCTGGCCGGGATGCCCAGCTGGACCCAGATTTCGCCCAAGGATTTTACGAGAGCAGAGGTTTGTCCACCCTACCTGCAGTAGGAGCAGGCAGGAGAAAATTCGCAACCTATGCACTTTATGATAATTACCCCTACCATAAAGGTTCAGCCATGAGAACCTTTTCTGATTACACGTGGAGTGGTCCCAAACAACTGGAACAGCCCACAGATGAATTACAGCTGATAGCTCAACTTTGAGGATAAATCCTCTGAGAACACTGCATCATTTTAATATGAACACTAAACTTCATACTATACAACAGCACAGCCAACCAAGCTTTGAAGAGAAAACATTTTCAGGAGCACCGAATTTCTGACACCTAGAAAGAGGTGGCAATGCTTGCTTCTATTAACCATTTTCAGAAAAAAATGCAAACCGTCTGGGCCAGTGAGAGCATGAAGAAGGGAAACAAACCACCAGGTCAGCACACGGGTAATTTTTCTTACTCGGCTCTGCTCTAATTCTAAATTCATTGAACTCATCGCTGTGCAGGCAGAGCAGAGCCCCTGCAAGAGACCGCAGGCTGTGGCCCTACAAGGGCCCTCCCTTAGCAGGCTTTAAGAAACCTCTTCTCGCTGCGCGAGTCACTGATTTGTTCTGGAAACTCCCTGTGATGAAATGAAGGACCCAAAGGCATTGAATTGTTGAACACATAAAAGGAAGTATATTTAAAATAAAAAAATTGGTCAGACTGTAGAGTCAATTACCATTTTTAAAGGAATTTACAGGGCTGTTGTAGATGAGTCTTTTGGAATAGTCAGTTTATCGCAATGCCTAAACTGGTTTCTTCATTGCACAGTATTTTCTTTTAAAATGTGTGCAGTTTTAAACTATTACATACATATTAAAAATCAGCATTTCTTTGTTTAAACTTAAGTAAAACGTTAATACTCTCAGACAACACAGATCTGAAATGGTGAAACCAGTAATTGCCCCCTCCCACCTTACAACAAATTAAATTGAGACAAAATTACAAACACATTTCACTACATGATTATTATTAATAAAAATCAGGTTTTTTTTTTTTATAAAGTTGCCCCAAAATGCAAGGGATGTGCATAGGTTTACAACTTAGTCAGAATAATATTTTACTTTATTCCCTTGGGTACGTGTTCCCATGAACGGAATGTACTTTGCTGTAGATTACAGGTTTTATCAACACAGATACACCAACGGCATGAACGCTTGCGACTGTCCACATGCATTAAGAGTCAAGACCCAATTTCAAATTTCTAAAAGTTTTACAGAGTTCTTCAAAGAGACAGTATCACATTATCTGGATGTTACACAAAAGTACTTAAAAATACTATCCTAGGAAAAAAAAAAGCAAAAAAAGGCCTTTAAAATGTATGAATTTGTTTCGTAACCACTAGACTAATTACTTCAAATAAATAAAGGAAAGCAAAGTATTCCAATCCATAAAATCAGACTCTAAAAAGAACGTAGTGTTCCACCCCCAAGTTAAGGTAACAGAATCATATTATTATTACTATTAAAATAGATTATAGAAAGCAGCATCTATTTTGTGCAGTTTTTAGGGGCCCTTGAAATAAAAAGCTATGATTTCCAAAAATATAACATTCCAAAGGACTGAATAATACATATATTTAAAGATACATTTTATTAAAGTTTAGGAGAAATGATTAAAAAAAGATACTGTCTCTTTAAATTAGTGTTTAATTTTTTTCCCCCTCCTCCTATCTATTCGGACATGACAATAATTATATTTTAGGTCACACTACATCTAGGTAGTCTCTAGGGGCCAAGACCTGTTGACACAAGGTCAATAACGAAGAGGTTTTCCATGTATGAGGTGGTTCCCAGTATGACAGATTTTTTATTTCCATCATCTCGTGACCGGGCTAGTAGACCCAGGAGACCGGGACCCACTGTGAGGCTGTACACACAAGCTCGATGGCTTCCTCCAGGTGCCTGATAGTTTCATCAATTTCATTGTTGATAATTGTTAGGTCAAAGTAGTGTGCATATGTTCTCTGTAAGATTTCGGACTCCTTCTGCAGACGCTGAAGGGATTCATCCTGTTTGGCAGTCAGAAAAGAAAATGGGAGAGAGAGAAGTTGGATCCTTTCGTACTCTTCTACAACAGCTCTCTAACTGTTGCTTACAGAGAAGGAAACGGGCAAAAAAGCCATAGGGAGGCCTAGGTGGTTTAAATCCCCCACCTAAATCTACAGAAATCACATGGGAGAAATGGCACAATTTCTCTCTTGAAGCTGACATTCAAACAGCACTGTTATTTATTGACATTACTTGAGACAAACCACAAGTCTAGCGTTAAAAAAGCAAGGCAGAGGATGGAAGCTTAGAAAAGCAGCACAGACATGAGCAATGGAGACCATATGTGAATAAAATGTACCAAGTGCACAAATATGAGCTATCGGGCCTATGTCCAGGTCAGAACACAAGAAACAGGAGAGGGTATATTGTCAAGTATCAGCTGTTCCCGGTTTTGGTAATGTTTTCTGTTCAACATCAGTCTTCGGGGTCTACTTCCTTTAATAATCATTTTACTGATAAGGAAATTCTCACGCCGCATTACTCTGCGGTTCCTATTTCAGAGCACGCCATTTCCAGCATCTCTTAGCGTGAGATCCTGAAGACGAACCACGCAGCTGGTGCTCAAGAAGGGCCAAGCGGCAGCAGACTGGTGCTCCCCATGGCTTTGTGCCACGGTCCGTACAAAAACCCGTGCATCCCACTTTGCAGCAGCACTACTGGACGCTGTGCAGCCAGCAATGCCACAGCGATGGGCTTTCTTAGTACGGTCTGCCTTTCTGAGAGAGCGGGATTGCAAAAGGCTCCTCTCTAGGGCCTGCAGCAATTCTAAGTTTGAATTCTCTTCCTGCAATTTCCCTTAGAAATAAAAAAAAATAAATAACCATTTGCTGCTTTCAGGAACCTTGAAATAGCCACATGAAAGTAATTACGTCCTTCCTGCCCCACAGGTTTGGGGTGGATATGGGGCAAAATTACATATGAACAGTATAGACTCCTGCTGCTCTGCAGTATCTATAGGGTCACCCTACTTGATCAGTCAACAGGGATATACTTTATTACAACAGAATTTTAGGCTGCAGGAAGTACAGACACAGTGCCTATAGCTGTTTTCACAAGAAATTATTCTGGCAACAGAATTTTATCCAGCTAATAAGAGACTCCCTCCTCCCCTTTTTTCTGTTTAAACTTCCCAAGTATTTGTAATGACAGTGACAAGTAGCTGTGGAATGGCAGCTTTCAGATCCTCTGAAGGGAACAACCTCCGCTGAGACAGTTCTCCTTCCCCATAGCTACAAAACCAGCCACATTGGGAGAAGAAGTTCTGTACCAAAGTTACAGTTCTGCTTCTCTCCTGAAGCTGCAGCCTCAAATGAGGGGGGATGCCACTTTCACTTGATAATTGCTACAAACTTCATTCAAAGTCAGACAAACACTCCTCATGTGCTTCTGCACAAGGAATGCTCCTTGTATGGACCATTATGCATTGCCAGTGATGCAGGGAACTTCCGTAAAAAATACCAAAAGTTCATTAAACTTTAGTATGTTTCTGACTTAGCTTCTCCTAGATCCAACTTTACTGAGATCGAAGTGGGTTGTATTTTGGAATATCTAAATTTCCTAGCCTGTTGAAAACGTAAAACATTACTTCTTTCATACACTTCTAGGGGCAGTAATAAGTTTGGGATAGGCCACTGCCTATCAACTAGTTTCAAACTTTCTAAAGTTCTGCAAAAAGAAAAGAGGTTACAGTTCTTGAGTTTTGTTTTCTTCTGGGACGAAATTTCACCTGTGTTTGTGATAGAGTATCTATTTGTACATTCAAAACCACCTCAGACTTGGCTAAACGTTTCCTCTGGGTCTATAAGTCCTAAATGCCAAAATTCTTCTTTGAAGCTATCGCTTCCTCAAAATTTTTGCTGTAGTAAGTTCCTCTCAATTTCTCTAAGATTTCTTAATTCAATTTTGAATAGTGAACATCCCAGATGATTCTTCAAGAAGAATATTCTCCAGCAGTTGTGCTCTCAATAGAGTCAAGAAAGAAGACAGTCGTCAAAATGTTCAGCTAGCTGCAGGCAGACAAATGAATAGCCACAACTTTATTGGAACAGACTTTTCTTTCCTATCACTAGAATTCAGTTCACTTTCCTAATTTTCCTCTCTTTCTCCACCATAGCTCCTTCTCCACCATAACCGGGACAGAAAGGAGTGAAACTTGGCTTTTATCCATGAAATCTCTCCCACGGTTTAGACTGGATATAAGGAAGAAATTCTTTACAATGAGGGTGATGAAACACTGGAACGGGTTGCCCAGAGAGGTGGTGGACGCCCCATCCCTGGGAACATTCAAGGCCAGGTTGGACGGGGCTCTGAGCAACCTGATCTGGTTAAAGGTGTCCCTGCTCACTGCAGGGGGGTTGGGCTAGACGACCTCTAGGGGTCTCTTCCAACCCCAAACATTCTATGATTCTAGGGCTGGGGTTTTTTTGGCTTTAAAGTACATAGGACAAGAGCTGCCGCCTGTTACAGTCAAAGCACAGCCTAACAAACTACTAATATTCCCTTCTAAGGCTGTGAACAATGTATAAACAAACCATCAGGCCTTGGCCAATTTTGCTCCAATAGAAAGAAATTCTCCTCAGTTTAAACAGCTGGTGGACTGCAAACTTCTTAAGAAAAATTCCTTTTATTCTTTGGCTGTAGGAGGGAGGAAGCATAGCTAAAATCCAGAAGAATTTGACTCAGTAAAGATTTACGCATGGCTCAGTAAAGATTTAGATCAAGAAAGTGGAGCCTGTCAACTCCTTTTTGCTGCTGCCCGGGCAATGGGACGTAGAAAACAGCTGGAAGAAAGAGGAACTTCTCCAGTGCTTCCTGATATGCTCTCTCCTCTCTCTGTTTTAGCACAGCAATAATCTGATTTAAGTTTCTTTTGTGATTAGACAGGTGGGTACACTCTGGGAGATCTCCTATATGATTTAAATTGGTTTTGTGCTTTGCAGAATTGCTCATAGTGCACTGCTATATTCAGTTGGAAAGTGTAATATTTTGTCTCCTAACTCTTGCTGTGTGGTCCTTGATTTTTGAGATATTTTGTGTGGTCTATGATAGGCTGAAGTGTCTCAAGAGAGAAACTTTTAAGATCAGGCCTCTGCACTGATTTTATCACAAAGTTCAGATGTGCAGCTGTAAGAGTAGAAATTTTACTCTCTAGTTTCTTTTTACTAGCAGATAATTTTAGCGCAGATATCTGAAGCCATTATTATATTAAATTTTTATTCCAATGGCGAAAGCAATGTTGAATGGGAACGAGCATATCTACATTCTAAAACTACTGAAATAACCAGGACTACCTTGTCAGCCCCTAGCTGGTACTTACGGGCAATTTTCTGCACCATTTTGGCAGCTATGTACAATTAGTGCGAGTGCAGGAAAATGAAAAGAAAAGCAAAGATGAAATTTAAGAAAACATAAGGGTGGGGAAAAAAGGACAGTCATTTACAGAAGTGTTCTCAAAAAGCATATGTAAAATAAACAAAGCAGGATAAGAGGATAAACAGAAAGGGATACTCATTAGGCAAATGAACCTTTCAAAAAGGAAGCATGAATGGGAAATACGAAACACACACTCTCCACCTTTGCTTGCTGCCTTGCAGGCTGCTAACGCACGGACACAATTTGCACATGTCCCTTCACGCAGTCCAATAAACCTTGGAAAATAGGATCCTGTATTCGGGTGAGGTCTGTTGCTATTACCATTTTGTGCCTCTCCCTTTCCTTAAGTTTAATTGACTCATAAATTAGCATGCTTTATAAGTGTGGCCTCAGTTCAGCAATTCATGTGCCTAAGCGAAACCCTGCATGCACAGAGACTTTAGTCACAAGCGCTTAAAATACAGACAGTCTTACAGCATGCATGCAAATATTTAAAACATGATACTTGACTTCTACTAATATTTCTTTGGCATGAACAAATATTTCCCCACCACTACTATAAAAGGTACATTTCTGTCCTCTTCCCAGTGTAGCATGGAAAATATTTTCTCCCTCATATGAACGGTCCCAAATGTCTCTGTATTATATCCTACAGCTGGAAGATGAAAAGGTAAGTACCACTGGCAGATGAGTGAAGCCAAAGAAGACTATTTGGGAGCTAAGACACAGGTACAGAGGCAACAAACCCATGCAACTGCTGCTCTAAGCACAATGCTTGCCTGACACATCCTAAGAATTATTCTAGCTATTTTAAACTGATGCCATGCCATTTGCTTCTACAAAAGATAATTCAGTGTAGAATACAAAATTTTAGTATTTTCTCAAGATCGTACTGATTTACAGCATATGCCAACACCAGCAGTTAGACAAACTGTCACTTCACTAACATTGCAAATTCTGCTGTTCTGAGAGGCCTTTGGACACTAAATATATTTATATTTAATTTAACTTAGAATATATTATCAGCTAGGCATAAGATACAGTGAAATGACACAGCTTACTGCTGTGAAAGCTAAAAGAACCTTCTCCCCCCTCTCATCTCTTCCTGGCTATATGTTTTCACTGCTTGTTCTGGCATTGGTGCTTGTCAGAGCCTTTGTGAGCTGCTTGAAAACTGACAAAAATCCAATTTAGAGCTAAAGTAGCTCACTAGAGGATCTGGTAAGTGCCCTGGCCAGTGCAGACTGGCCGTGTATGTCCCAGAACCAAGTTAAGAGAGAATCAGCAACAGCGAACTAGTAGAATGCCTTGGCTGCCAGCAAAGTAGCAGCTCAAGGCCAATATTTTTCACCCTCCACTTGCTATTTTAACAATCATTCAGGGTATTTGCATTTAAATGTTTGTCTTGTTCCTTATTTTCCTGCAAGCCTCTGCAGTGAGGTCATAGTTTCATACTTGTGATATATTGTAATTACATTTCTATAGAAACAGGCTGTAGAGACAGGGCTCCTGTCTATTTTCATGTGATCAAGGAGACATCTAGGAGATTTGGACCAGATTAATGGTCAAATCCAATTGATTAAATACCTTAATATCATGGTTTAAAAAAGGCTGGGAAGATAAAGTGTTTGGATTAATACTGTTTGCCCTGTTGCAAGCTAAATCCAGAATTGCTTGATATTATCTTTGAAATCAGTAGCAATCTGCAGAGAAGATACTCTATAACTAAATAGGAAGTTCAGGATGTGGGCCTCCATGAATACTCAATGTTATTCCACAAGCAATTACCCCTTTGGTCAAAGCTTCCGATTCCAAAAAGCTTCCAGCAGTCTTCAAAATTAATAAGCCTATTTCTGATATATACTTGCTGTATAGAAAAAATACTAAAAGATAAAGGTGGGATGACAGCACAGTCACGCACACCCAGTTCTTCAGTTCGGCCAGCTGTAATCTAGCGCTAGCACTGCAACTCAAAATTGAGTAATTTGCATTAATGATTTGTCAAGGATTTGGAAATGGATCTTTGAGCTAGGGCAGGGAATGAAATAAAAGAATACATATTTTTAGAATACATCATGTGGATCCTTCAACTTGAAGTTCATATTGTGAATTAGAAAAAAAATCAGTTAATAAACAATAAATACATCTCAATCAACTTAATAATGCTGCCATACAACTGTCTGTGTGCTTCTCCAACTGTCTGTGTGCTTCTCCATTTACAAACAAGGAAACAACTGAAGAGTTGTATCTGCATATTTGAATCTCATCCTTAATTCTGTCTCTGACAGAACATTAGATTGCAACATGCCATACCTCATTAATGCCTGGGGTAATCGTAGGTGCAGCAATAAAAACAACAAAAGGAGCAAACTCTGCAGTTCTCAGGACCTTCAATGCCTAAGTGAAAAAAAAAATCAAGATACTTTAGAAGAATCCCCCAACAATCAATGTGAAATAAGTTTAGTCACACATGCAAAAGATACAAAATCATGGTTTGCCAATGCTGGTATTTGTTTTTAACTGAGCTGGAGTCAAGACCTTAGTAATACAGACACTTAACTTTCTGCGTTATTTTACATTTTTGGTGGCCGAATAGGATATTTATCCTTCATTAAAGTGAGTTTTCAAGACAATGAGAGCTTTAGCATTTTCAGAGATGCTCTTCCTATACAGCCCCAAAGACTGCAGAATTCTGTTTGCATTTAAGCTGAATGATTAACACCAGGTAAAAAAATTCAGTCATGCCATAAGTAGGGAGAAGAGCCAACTGTATTTTAGAACAAATATTGATTAGAATATAATTTTTGTCCGACTCTTTCCACCTACCAAGACTTTTTTACTATTATTTTCTGAAACAAATGAAAATGTGATGTGAGAGGTTCCAAGTTTTTAAAAAGTAAGCATAGTGAATTTTTTAAAAAGTGAGCATAGCATGAATGAAGTAAATACAGCACCAATCCCCTGAACCAAATCTATGAAAAAGAAAAGAGTTCTCATTAAAAAGTTGACTAAGTCATAATTTACTGAGTAACACACAGAGTTGCTGTAAGTAAAACTTTGGTACAGATCCAAGCTAGACTGAGTGCAGGACAGCAAGTAAACATACCTCAGCTGAACTCAAATAGATGGGCACGATAAAGCAAGACTACTCAAGGTCAGTCTTTTTTTGCTCCTTCTATTTCCTGTCTTCTACAAAGTTTTTTTTAAAAAAACCAAAACAACCAAACAAAAAACCGCAGTCCATCCTTTTCCCAGAGGTTTTCACCTCTGCTGCTTGAAACCCACCTATGTATATAATCTACACCAACCTCCTCTAAAAAGAGATAAACCCCGTATGCGAAAGTCAAGAAAGCTCACGTAACTAGGAGTACCCAAGGGAAAACAGGCGAGCAGTGCAACATAACCAGGAATAAGCCCACAGACAGGCTGGCCTTAATAAGCCGAGGTGGATGCATGAGGAAGCTGGCTAAGAAAGAGGCTTGCTAGACACATGCTGGAGGAAGTGTAGCAAGGGTGGCTGTTACCAAATGTAAACATACTCTAACAAAGATTAAAAGGCCTTCTGAGAACTGCAATGCTTCTGAATAATGCAGGTTGAAAAGGTTTATCAAGAGAGTTGCTTGTAACAGCTGCTCCATTTGAACTAACTATAAATGCTGCTCTCCCTGAAAATGTGGGATTTTATTTTTCAGAATAGCACCACACCATCTTATGATGTGATCTGTCCTAAATATTTTAGTCAGGTATCTTATTTATGTTAAGAAATTCTTAAAGAATTTTAACTTCTTGAATACATTCACAAAGAAGAAAGAAGGCAGGAACTTTAAATAGATAACACTGGTCACAATTTTAATTTTCTTTCTTCCCATTGCCTTCAATCTGCTAGAATAATATAAACATCACGTTTGTCCATATTCATGTTGTTCAACTTAACAAAACGTATAAACACATCCCTGTGAATTGAAAGTCATGACTACATGGATGTTCCAAAGGAAACATCAGAATTTTCCACTGAAGATTTTACATAATGAACAAACTGTTAGTGTTTCTTGAGAGCCTGATTTTCCTTCCAACCCTCTTCCAAAAAGTATAATACTGCAACAGAAAGGAGTTTAGAAAGTAACAACACTGATCTGGTCATTGTGCAAACAGGATCGGTATTGGTAATTGACCACAAATGTTTCTGACCATGCTCAACAGTGATACGGAGCCAAAAGTCAGTTAGGAACAAGACTACCCTCTAATGCAGCATTCAAAGAGACATTTTTGAAAATACCGAAACATTACTCCTGGCAGGCAATGACAATCACTTGTTTTGATACATTTCACTCGACATGAAACTAATGCATTAAAAAGTTATATGGTAAGTAGATTTTCAAGCTAAAGTGGTTGCATACCAAGCTAAACTATGAATTTGTTTCTGCTGTATGTTCTTCTAACCAGATGACTACCAGAATGCTACTTCACAGATTGATACTTTGGTGTTCTAGGCACTTTTGTTCCACATTACTGTACGCGTTACTTATCTAGTGTGCAATCAATAAAAAGAAATATATCTTAACAAAATAAGGTTGAAGGATTTGTGATGAGTCCCATTTTCATATACTTCTAGTTACCTGAGGTTCTACATCAAGTATTGCAATTAGTCCCTGCTCATGGATCTTTCGTATTGTTTCCAGTTTTGTCCCATACATTGCATCCTCATGGCTGCCATATTCCAAATATTCATTGTTTGATATATCCTGCATCATTTGGTCATGTGATACAAAGTAGTAATTTTTCCCATTTTCTTCATCTTTCTTTGGAGGTCGGGTTGTATCTGAAAATACAAAATATTTTTGGTACAAAAGCAATATTAAGCTTATATATGGCTTTTTGTTGGGCTTATCAATACTTATTCACTGAATGATGACCTGTCAAATCCTTTACCTAGTCAAGACTATAAGACTCTACCAGCTACTTTCAACAGCAAACAAAGGCCAAATCTCACAGTTTCTATTGTTTCTAAACAATTCAATTAGCAGACAGTACTGGGCCTGATCCTGTTCAACATAATCTTTAATGATCTGGATGATGGGGCAGAGTGTACCCTCAGCAAGGATGTCAATGATACAAAACTGGGAGGAGTGGCTGGTACACCAGAGGGTTATGATGCCATCCAGAGGGATCCTGACAAGCTGGAGAAATAGGCTGACAGGAACCTCATGAAGTTCAACAAGGGGAAGTGCCAAGTCCTGCACTTGAGGAGGAACCACTCCATGCACGAGTACATGCTGGGGGCTGACCAGTTGGAAAGAAGCTCTCTAGAAAAGGCCCTGTGGGGAGTCCTGGTAGACGCTCAGTTGAATATGAGCTAGCGATGTTCCCCTGTGGCAAAGAAGGGCTAAAGGTATCCTGGGCTGCATTAGACGAAGTATTTGCAGCAGGTGGAGGGAGGTGATCCCTCCCCTCTTCTCAGCACCGGGGGGGGCAAACCTGGAATGCCGGGATCCAGTTTTGGGCTCCTCAGTACAAGAGAAGCATGGACATACTGGAGAAAGTCCAGTGGAGGGGCACTGAGGGACTGGAGCATCTCTCCTATGAGGAAAAGCTGAGAGCTGGGGCTGTTCAGCTTGGAGAAGAGAAGGCTCAGGGGGGATTTCATCAATGAATACAAAGTCTAAAGTGAAGGTGTAAAGAAGATGGAGCCAGGCTCTTTTCAGTGGTGCTCGATGACAGGACAAGAGGCAATGGGCACACACTGAAACCCGGGAGCTTCCATCTGAACGTAAGGAAACACTTTTTCACTGTGAGGGTGGCTGAGCACTGACACAAGTTGCCCAGAGAGGTGGTGGAGTCTCCATCCTTGGAGATATTCAAAAGCCACCTGGACATGGTCCTGGGCAACTGGCTCTAGGTGGCCCTGCTTGAGCAGGGAGATTGGACCAGATGACTCCCAGAGGTAAGGAACTCAACCATTCTGTGATTCTGTAGGCCATCTGCCCCTCTTTTCCCCACAGGCACGCTGATATCCACTTGCTTATCTTTCTTCTAATGTTCCCTCACATACTGATTTACTTTCATATTTTTCCACTATCATATTTATGTTGGTGACATACCTGAAACACTGCATCTCTTCCCAATCTTATCGCTTATCTTCCAACAACCCAATCATAATTTCAAACAAGGTATCAAAAAATTTAACTCATCTTCTATTTTTAATTACACTGATTCTGTGATTCTGTTCTGAGGATTAATTAGCATATTTCAAAGATGAAAAGTTCTATAGAAATATTATAATAATAGTTATTATTTTAAGGAATTCAAGAACAATGGATTATATAAGCCATATAATATCACTATACTACTCACTGCTGCCTTAGGTCTACTGAACTTACACACTCATACATTTGGCCCAAATTCTTTTCTTCTGGAAAAACATTTCTGTATTTTCCATTTTTTACTTCAATTTTTATGAGATTTTCTTTTTGTGAGTGTGAAAGCACTGAGAAACCTGATCTAGTTAGTGGTGTCCCTGCTCACTGCAGGGGGCTTGGACTAGATGACCTCTAGGGGTCCATTCCAACCCAAAACATTCTATGATTCTATGATTCTGTGAAAGTGTACGTGTAAAAAGTGGGTGAGGGCCTGATTACTTGTGGTCAAGAGAGATTAAAGCTACTTAGCTGTAACACACTTTTCCAATATATTGCTTCTGCAGACCTATGTGGTAAGAGATGTATAACCTACTAACCCTTTTAATTAACTACTGTTGTGTGTGATGTGACCTACAATCAGGTTGTCAGTAGGTAGATAATTCCTTCATAAAGCACTCCCCAGAACCACACCCCCCTTAAGCCCTATCTCAAAAGTGACCTACTCCTACGACAGTTTTGTAAAAGAATACAGAAAATGCAGTAAAATCCATCCCCGAGAACTGGAGAGAATAAATTCAATTACCTAGAGTCAGCTGAAAGATAGATCAGGTTCCCATAATACTTAAAGTATATGTGGTATATTTCATATGATCTATTTATATCAGTAACATAAAGAAGTAATGTGGGTGTCTAAACACCAGCATAAAGTGCTATTTTAAATGCCCTAAATGCCTTAAACCTGAAACATCCATGTAGGACTATTTAGATATAACGCAGGAGTTAAAGGAGACTCTTCTGGAGTGGGGCTGGAGGTTAGGTGATGTCTAAAACAGGCATTTAAACATCACACTGATGCTTAAGCACCTGAATTTCAGCCTCATTTGCAGTCTAGTGTTTTTAATCTTCTTATATAATCAGTGAAGCAATTTCAGTGCTTCCACAGAGCAGGAACCTAATGCAGGCAATCTAAGGCGTGGTCGTCATGGTAAGGGTGAGTGCATTTTAACAGGTATTTGAAGGTAAAATAACTAGTTCAGCTTCTAGCTCCCCGCAGCAATACAGTTCGTACTTGAGAGAGACTGGGTGAAAAGCATATTCTAAAACATTTATTACTCTTTGTTTTAGTCCTTTGTAATGGAGAACGTATTTGCTGGGTTACTACTCCTTTCCCCCCATATAGTCTTGTCTCTGTTGAATAACATAGGTACGATGTATATCACATACTCCTGGCACCGCACTTTTCAAATGTCTAATCTAGGATTTTAGCGTCTAGATATAAAGAGTAGTGTGACAAACAGTGCAGTTTAGCATCGCTGCTGGGGTGATCTAATAGTTCATACTTTCAAAAAGGTTAGGTTTTTCTGTTTTCCTTCTGCTGGCACTGGTCTTCGTCTAACTCCTTAGTGAGCAAGCCTGGGGAACTTAAATCAGCAGCAAACTAATCCTTTTCCCCTTCCAAATAGGTTTACAGTTAAGTTCTTAAAAATTACACTTTTTAGCAACAACAAAATCCTAATAGGTAGAAAAACACCTAAGTGCCATTTTTAAAGTAAAGCACTAACAAGGTATAAATAAAATTAAATTAATGCATAATGGTCATCATTGTCACTTCTGAGCCACGTATAGTGTTTCTGAAGTCAGCCTGAAATAGAGTGGACAGACTTAGCTGCTGGATGCTCTTGTTTCAGAATGCCTGGCTTGACGAAAAAGGGTGCATCTCCAAGAGATCGTGTAGTAGGATATGCAATTCCTGCCATGGTATTGGTAGACATTGTCATGAAGGGAAAACAGCCCTGTGCTCTTTGTAACAACCCACTTGTAAGCACTGAAGTTAATTGTGTTTTCTTTTTCTTATTTTCATCTCTGGGAACTCGGAGTTATTTTAGTATACCAGTCCTCCAGGCTAGGCGGTGAAAACTAATTTAAAACATCCAGATAAGGTACACATTAAAGGTTTCCTCTAAATGCAGTTTATATTTCTTCTCATGGGGATTAACCACAGTTTTCAAGGTCATGGCTGTTCCAGTCTTACCTGGACTGTAAATGGAAAATTAGCAGAGAAAAATGTTTTAGCCTTCATTCTAAATTAACAAATGTTCTGGGTAGAGAGAAGCATGCTTAACAAATAGTTTTGTGAACACTAGGAAACAGTCAAAGTGGCGTTACTTACTACCCCTCCCTCTGAAAAACACAAAAGAAGAAATATACCCGGTCCTATCACAGCTCCCACCTTTCAGATAGGATTTGTCTCAGCAGAACTGAACACATGCAGTACTACAATGGGTACATTGTCAAGGACACTACAAACAATTTTGCACTACATTGAACATTGCTACTTACGAGGAATGGGGTAAGCAAATCTGTCCGGGTGTTTTGTGATGAGCGTGTTTTTTATGTGTCTTCTTCCAACACCATGTGCACCTAATCCACAACACAAAAATGAATTATAAATTTTCCACCAGAAGGGGTTAAAAACTGTGCTGTTATGTTCAGAATAATAACTCAAAATTACCTAGTAAGACTAGTGTTTTCCTTTTGAATGCTGGCAGTTTTACTACTTCTTCATATGTGACGAGATCTAATTGATCAAACACTAAAACACAAAAGAAACCCCCACAGGGATAAGAAAAAAGGCATATTAAGGGTGATAATTAATTGTGCTACAAGTTTTAGATTTACAATACAAAGTAATACATTATGGAAAATAAAACCATTTCGTTTTGCAATTATAACAAAAGTGTTCATTTAGAAAATCATTAAAAAGCAGTAAGAAAGCTACTGAAACGCTCAGGAAAGTTTGCATGTCCTTTCATGCAGTATTCAGCAGACCACAAGAATTAGCTAAAATGGCATGCCATTCACGTTTGCATTCCTAAGAAAGAGCAATACTAAAGAAAAATCTGTAGACAATGAACAACATGAATACAATATGAGAACATCTATTTACACTAAAGATAGGGATACTCTCATAATCATGTTTTAACAAGATCTATGAGAAACATATAGAGAAGAGTATTAATACTTTGTGGTATTTATTCTTCAAAACTACCACCATATTAATTGTAATTAGAGTTCTCTTTAAACACACGTGCTAGCTAAATTGACATGCTTTTAAAACTTGTGACAGAATGAAGAATTCTAACGAAAAGTGATGGCATTACATAAAAGAACCTCCACCATATTTAGGGAAAAATTGTAAAAGTATTATTTCAGAAATAATTTCAACTGCAGTTGAAATTGGATGAATTCCATCATGCCTATCAATCTATTGTCAATTGCCAAGGTATGTAATGATTGACAAATTGAGTTTTGTTCATTAAAAACAGCTTATTCCTCCTGTGCCCAATAACACCTCATCTGTGGTAATTATTGCAAAATTCTAGTGAAAAAAGAAGCCAGGAAGCAGTTAATTATATTTATAAAGATTACACAAATCAGCAATTGTGAGCACAATAACGAACAAGAGTTTTCAGTTCTGTATTTATGCATAAAAAGAAGGGAGGAGAGATGCATAAAAAGAAGGGAGGAGAGACTGCATCTAAAGTATGGGATTCTTTGACTGTTTCCAAGTCCTAAGTTGGTGTGTTCACCTCAACTATATCCCATCCATCTTTTAGGATGAGTCTAGATATATCTGTCTCCCTCTCCTCCTATCCAAAGCCCCTTAGGAAAGTAGGCAAGTGGCGGAAGCTTTAGTTTGCTTGCTCCAGAAGCCCCCAGCCACCAAAATCAGCATTAAGACTGTGGAGCCAACCAGAAAGCACATGCTCTTTGTACTAAAGTCCCAGTTAAAGCAGCAAATGTTTTAACTTAATATATGTCTTTTTATAGGGCAGATTTTTCAATTCAACCACAGTCTTTTTACTCTAAATAGAAAGTACAACTGCTTCAATTTGGTCAAACTACAAATTAGTCAATTGATATACTCAACTCTTTAAGACCTTGCAAAGATACAGCTATGAAAACTTCCTAGTCCATTTGAAGCATTTTGAATTTCATCCCAAAGAAGAATCTCTTTCAACCTTTCCCCAAATATTACAAGCAAGAATTTAGTCGTATTTTTCTTCCACTCCGCAAACCTACAAACATGGAATTCTTACTACTGTCCTTTTTGCACCTTCACGCTATTTAAACTAATTAATAATCCATTTCATATTAGATCTACAACACGTTAAACAGTTTTACCATTCTAACCATCTAGGCCTCCAAGTATCTTTTCCCATTAAAAAATAATTAAGAAAATCAGTTCTTTATTTTCTTCTTGAACAAAACCACATTATGTTAGATACAAACAACAGGAGCAAACAACAGAAACGATACATATTAATGCCTTCATCACAAACTAGCAGCATGGAGAAGATGTGTCTCAGTCTACATGGAGTTAACTAATGATTGTAGGGTTTTCAAATGCAAAAGAAAAATGATTATTTTTTTAATATACACAAGATATGAGGAATACAGGGCACATTTAAAGACTGAACTTTAATGCTTCTGTGTTACTAGCTCATAAAGAAAAGGAGTTCTTGAAAGGAAACAGTAAGAAGCAAATAAAGAGGCATTGTCACTTGACAGGTTACTTACATGCACAGAGGCCATTGGGAGTAAGACAGCATGAAAAATGTACAGGGGTCATTGAGATATGGCTCGTAATATATTAGTAAAATAAAAAGTATATGCACAAAATAAACTTTACCATGCAATAGTCTAAACACAAGGCAAATAAACCACATTAAGAAATGATAAACATATTTTATAAAAGCTTGGCAATTTACTACATTATGCATAATATGAAGTATAGTTCTAGTATGTTCTAAAGAGTGTTCTTTTATGAAGTCCTGCAATAACATTTCAGTGAAATAAATAAAAAAAATTATCTACATATCATGGCAGTATACCACAAGAGCATTTATAAAAATGTCAGTGAACCTAATAATGAAAAATATTTAATTTTTTTCTGTGGGCTTTGGTCTAAAACTGACTTTACAACGATAAAATGTATGATCACGAAGTTGTCTCTTGAAGGACACAATAATATCAAGTATGGAGGAAAGAAAAATGGAATGATATTTTTCTTGTAAAGGAGAATATATTTGCTTTTAATTATAAAAAGTACCAGATATATTCTACTCTCTACTTCATAAACTATGTTGGATTTGCAGAATAATTTAATTTCTAGTTCCAGTAATATCCCAATATATCACACCAAAATCTTAGCTCTCAAATCATTAGCTAGCCACACAAGTCTTAGTTGACTATGCCATTTCTCTGCACCCCAGTTCAGTCTCCTCTCTAAGACAAAAATAACAGGGAAGTCCAAATAGATTACATACTGCTAAAAGATTTATTGAGTATTATACTAAGATATAAGAGAAATAAATTCTACTTTCTTGTAAGAGCAACATTTTGACATCCAGATTACACGTCTCAGTTCAAAATGAATTATACTTATTTTGGATCCAACAGAAGAAAAAATCTGGTTTTTATTCTGAGACAGATGCACTGAAAGCTTCCAAAAGCCAGAGTTGCCATATTTCTGACTAACAATACCAGACGTGAGAGAGCAGTTCAGAGAAGGTAAATTCAGTACCACCTTAGTTAAACTTAAACTCATGCAAGCACCATAGCATTTTCAGGGAATCTCTTTATATCCTACATTTAGCATCATTCCCCAGAATGTTACTGACATCACCTTTAATACCTCAAGCACACTAAGATCAATAAACATTTCTAACAGAAATCTTGATTCCAGTCTGCATTTTCATTAACTTTTTGACTTCTTAGGGAGAAGGGGAAGTGTCAGATGGTATTCTGAAATGAGCAGCTTCTTTAATGGTCATTTTGATAATTTTTTATGTTCACGTGTCTAATTTTTGGCAAACTTTGCGCTCTGATGTAAAGTGACTAACAGCACTGATGGTGGCACACGCTAAGATAAGCAAACTGTGAGACTCAAAGTGCTGTTAACTTCCTCCAAAACATCCCCCCTACATCAAGATGGGAAAGTCTAGACTACCTTCCTTTCAGGGATTTAATTGCTACAAAGTCTTTGAGCTACTTTTGCTCCTGAAGTACTGCCTGCTCCTTCTCCTTCCCTGACCATCCTCTTTCCTTTGCTTATTCCTTTGAAGCCTGCCATGCTTAGTGACACTGACATTATTAACTACGTAGCTGCACTGTGAACTGTATTAAGAAATTTAACTGCCCTAAAGAAAAAGAATCAATGGTTTTTGTTGGGTTGCTCTCCAGTTAATCCGGTTAACAGCATGGCCACGCAGAGTTGTACTGGCACACCCGAAGGGAGCAGCAATGCTGTGGGACTGTATGCTGGGAGCAATTGATAATACTTGTTTTAGTGTTGTCGAAGACTTAAGGCCATAAAATCCAGTTTATTCTCAATAGTTTTTGTTAAGGTTGTAATTAGTAAAACATGGTTTAGTGCTACTGCAATGAAGTGGAAACACTAAAACAAACAGAATGTTAAACCAGCAAAAGGAAGGAAAGAAGTTAAAGCTTTCAATCTCTACTTACAGGGTTTTCAGGGTAATGAGAAATTTTATATTTAACTGTGAAATGTGACAGTGAATTAAGGAGTACAAATGACAATTACTCATCTTTGACTTTCTTACATCTTATTTTCAAATTACTTTTAAGTAAACATAAATTCTGTAGTACTGATATATTATGAGCTGTGATACCACACACAGATTGTACAGGTAAGGAGAAATGTGAAAATACAGACTTAAATTGTTTAATTGGTGCATTCAATAATGCAAGTGAAAAAAACTCTAGAAATTAATGCAATATATAAAGTACTTTCATTACACTGTTTGGACAGGTATATCTTCTAATTCTAATAAAAAACCTCTGCAAGTCTCCCAAGAGACCACAACAACATATTTATCATTACAGTATGTGATGCAATAGAAACAGTTTCAACACATTGAGTATTTTATATTAAAAGAACTAAATTAGCTCATGAATAAAGGGGTCTTCCTTCTTTACTAATAAAATTAATGAATTTTGCTCTGCAAGTATCTCTTACTTCTACTTTCAAAATTTTCTAAAAGAATTCAATTTTCCAGCAGTTTAAATAGAAAGCCAAAACTTAGGATTCAGGTAGAAATCACTGCAAGGGGATAAACTTCCATGGTTTGTTTCTACTTGTTAACTGTAAATAACACGCTGACTACGCAATGGCTCTTATTCTACTTCCAGCTGTAATGCTTCAAGAAAAATGCCCTTTCATTATGTTTTCACATATATAATCTATAACACATATTAACAAAGATGCTACTGAAATGTCTTCTGTAAAGCACAGTACAGTAATACAGATTGCAAAATTAATATCCTGTTGGTTTCTAGTGCTCCTTTAAGTATAAAAACCAAAACAATGTAAGCCTATATTAGGATATATTATGATGCATTTATTTTGTCACAGCTTGCTTCTCACTGATTAAGCTATATTTTTAAATAGCAAAGAACAAGCAGAGCAATGTTGGCATAATTATAATTTTAGTTCTATTTTCCTAACTCAGGTTTATGTAACAGTGCCAGCTGAACAATTAATGGCAAGGTTTAGATTGTAAAAAATGTAACCTGTTAAAGATACTTGCATTTTTTTTTTCCATACCTGCATTGTGCTTTGCCAAATATTTGTCTTTGTACTGCTTTTTTTTCTTTCCAAACCAAGTACAGCTGGCCTGTTGCTCCTGTTTGGTCTTCTCCATGGCAATACAAGCAACTCGCCTGGCATATGGAGAAAAAAATGTTTTTGTTGTAATCAATGTATTTTTAAACAGCCACACAGAATGAATTAGAAAAATAAGACTTTTTAATAACACAAGAGTACAGTAAAACTTTTGAAAACCTTTTTTTAGATGACTTGAAAGCATTTATATACAGAGGTATTTTGATATAAAGAATATCTTCTTAGTGGTAGATCATTAAAGCTCACAGACCAAGTGAGCATGGGAGGAAGGGTAACTATGAAAATGGCTGTAGACCACTTTGCAGCGGATCAGACTTGGAAGAGCATGAGGTCTGAAAAGACCACTATGGTCTAAATTACTTCAGAGCAAGTTGTGTTGTGTTGTGTAACTGTTTTGAGATCAATCTTCAGGATGAAGTATTCCAAGTGTTCCTGCTGCAATGCATACCAGTGTCTCCTTTACATCATGGCTTGCAAGGGAGCTCTTGAGATGGAATGAAATGTCTTGTCTACCTCTGTTTCTCTTCTAGCAAAACCTCCCCTAGCCTGTCCAGGTGGCACAGGTGCTGTTAAACCCTTTACAGCACTCTAATTCTTATATAGGAAATCTTCTATGTAATGTTTTGGGTTAGATTATCCATATTGATAAACTTTCTAGAGTTATGGCCATAACTTTCATGGCCCAGGACTTGCTTGCAAGAGTTTGTGCTGATACATTTAAAGTATTTACTAATCAGCTTCTGCAAGAGGTTGTTTAAAAGCTCTGCATTGCTTTTGTGGTACTCAGTGCCATTGCCGTTCATTGAATCTGTCATTCAGGAATCTTTGCACTGTGATTGCTTTCTACTTTTGGCTTTCATGTGGAAAATGGAAAGGAGAGAAACCCCCAAAACTCCCTCAATGACTCTTGTGCTTGACATCTTGCTAACACCTTATTCCTGCAGCACTTGCATGTAAGCAGTACTAATGAAAACACTGTTTAGAACCTAAAAGAGAAATAAATTTGCCCCCCTTACGTAAACAATTTGTATGTAGCCTTCAATCCTAGTTTCCTATAGTATATCAGAAAGCACAAATGATGTTTACTAACACAGGTGTTTATTTTTCTAATGTAACCACACACTTGATATTGCATGCAGCCCTTAGTGCTATGCATACAGGAGAAAAAAAAATCAATGGCACACAAACTGAGGCAATGTAGGCTTTTTTCTGAAAATCAAGAAAAAAAATTATACAAAAACTAGCTATACTACAATGAAAAGAGTAAAAGATGGAAATAAAAGCAAAGCTAAATTAATTTTTATAGAAAACTTAAGTCATACCATTCTTGAAGTTCAGGAGAAGGAATAAGACCTGCAGTACCATTTTTGGAGTTCTCAAGTTTACCCTGCCACCAGTTGTGATCATCTTTGCTAATGATTTGGATAATATCACCAACTCGGAATCTGATGCCAGCTTCTTTACAAGGAATGAGGTCATCCTTTCCTGGATCATATTCAAATTGTGCTCTTACATATATCTATAAAAAGAGAGTTTATAAAAGACACTGCGATATTATTACTGGTAAAGTATTAAGAGTAACAGGTGAAAATTTGATCTGTGCATGTAGCTACACATACTGTTTGCAACAAGCAAAGGAAGAAACAGAAGGGCGAAAGCGTAAGTGATAGTTGAAAATGAGACAGAAAAAAAACCCTCAGCGAACAATGGAGACGTATGATGTTATTTTGAAAGCTCATGTCTTCTACATACTGTAAAACCCAAACAGCAAAAATGAACACATGTAATAAACTGATAGACTCCCTCAAATCAGTATTAACTATCATGAGTCATTACAGGCTAAAAGCCAGCAGCTTACAACTTGAACTGTACTTTACTTTCCAACTGAAGTCCCATGATACGTTTTAAAAATTTGTATGACAGGGAATTTTATTGGACAGTATAAAGGATTTCGTCTACCTTACCGATCTTTAGTATTTAGACTGAATACTTAGTACCCTTTTTTTTTAGATTAAATAGGAAGTCCTGTGTTGCATCTATCCTATATAGTTACTTGGGAGGGATCTGGAAATTCTCTGCACGGGTTTTTCAGTAAAAGTCTTCTCCCAAATAAATGAAAACTAACAATTTGACTAAGTTATTCTCTAAGGAACATTAACAGAAAGAATTCAGATTCTGACTTCACAATTTAAAATAATATACCAATCCTTGCTTTGTGGTTTAATGAAGTCTCAACCCTAGAAAATAAAAATAAAAGTGAACTCCACTTTTGGTTGCTAATTACAGCCCTGATGCATCCAAGGATCTTAGAATTAGAATTAAATGTCATGTCCAAGATGGGTAATTTCTACAGTTTATGAACTTCAAACATCACCCTATATCATCTCAGACAGCCATGTATATTCTACTGCTGATTTTCTTACTAAAAACTGACTAGATTTAAAAAAAAATTACATTGCAAAGTAATACGCTTCTTTTAAACTGTAACAAACACTTTTCAACTTTGCTCAAATTCTGCTCCAAAAATAGCTGTAACTGTGCAATGTTAGCACTATTCATGGCACTTAAAAAAGTCCATTTCTACAGTAATCCAATCTGCAACACAACATATGAATAAATTAACTTAAAATGGCTAATCACTACTATTTTGTGCCTGATACATTTTTATCTGTTTACAGTGAGAGCATCAGATGATAATACCAGTATAGATCTCAACTTAATACACTAAATCTGACCCTTGTTCTGCTGTGCACTGAGTGTTTAGAAAAGCAACCCAACTTCTTTTAATCACCTGAAAAATAGGATATTTTGAAACCAACTACGTTTATTTAGTAATTGGCTTTCTATGAAGTAATCAGTATTGAACCAATCCCTCATTTCCCCTCACCCTTACCTAACACAGGTCTAGAAAAGTGAGCAGTATTTTTACCATCTAGAAACTTTCTTGCTTTTCAAGTCCCTGCTCCAGTTTGAGCCATTATCCACCACATATTGGCTCTTCATGGAATGTTACAGACTTCCTTACAGATAGCAACATAGCAGTTATTAAATCCCTTACTGTCTTCAAGGATGGACAAATATGCTGGTTCAATGGGAAAAGACTCTTGAAAAAAAACAGGTAACTACAAATGGTGCAAGTATGAGGAACACCAATATTCTGCTATTGCTTTGAACGAATGCTCTTCTCCTTGAAATCATACCTTAGGAGAGGAAAACAAAAACCTAACACAACAGCTTGGAAGGTCTCTCATAGAGACTTTCCAGGACTACATTCAGGCAGCTGGAAACTTCAGAAGACAATGGGAAGTTGAAAGAACCGTATAGCTTTAAGCTTTAAAAATGGGAAATGAAGTGAGAGCAATCCATCCTTGTAATAGATATTCCAGCCGACTTAACCAGACAGTAGTATAAAAAGATTGTCACAGACAACAGGTTATGGAGTCCATTGACTCTTTTGACTGAAATTGCAAGAGTTACTGTTAAAACTCTTGGTAGGGTAAGAGGTTGAGTCCACAGTTAAGATTCAGAGGCAGATTCTGGAAGGTCTATATATAAACGGAGCAGTTACAGAAGATGAATCACAAATCGCTTGATGGTATGTGCTGATTTGGAGGCTGCAGTAAAAAAAATAAATTCTTAAAACTGCAAAGGAAATCATAGGGAATCCTCTGCAGAGCCCTTAAAGGGCTCTTGGAATTCTCTGTAGAGGGAATATTTTTCTTTGGTCTATGAGACATACTACTGTCAAGGTAACAAAGTTAAGGGAGGTTACTGAATCTCGTCCTTAGGACTGAAAATGTAAGAGGCTATCTTCAGACTTATCAACGCTTAATAAAAACTGTGCTAAATGTTTTTCTTTGAAGAGCTTTCTTAATGTTAATAATTAGTTATAGACCAACTCAAGCTTTAGAGTCATTGTCAGTACAATGTTTTAGAGTAGAGTATTAGATGCTTGCCATACTAGTCTCCATTTCAGCTAAAATATAAATTTGAGCTTTCCTCTAAGACGAAAATCTGCACAGGTCACTGCACAACAGTAAGTCTATTAATGCGTTCTGAACTAAAACAACATCTCCAGTTAAATTTATAATGACTTTGTAACTCTCATACATATGGACACATGAAAAAAATGCTATTTTGAATTAGCCACAAACAAATGAGTTAAAAAGAAAAACAAAAACAAAAAAGGAACATTTTTCCAAGCTTAAATGTTTTAGTCCAGCACATACAGAATATGAGGGGGGAAAAGATAAGCAGGGATGTTCACTAGCAGCTAAGTTTACAAAAATTCCCATGGAGGATATCTATTCACCTGTCGTCCTTTTGGTTGTGTTGTCGATGGCAAGTCCTGCAGAATAAAGTCAACCCAGGAGAAGAAATTTTCATTTTACTTTTTAAGGGTATACAACACCATTTGTTAGTGATTCATACTACATTACAGTAAAATGGTAAGTCAGACAAAAGTATAAAGCATTGACCCATATTCAGAAATATTTTTTTCTTAAAGAAAAATCAAACCCAGGCTGTTTAGCAGCAAGCTGAAGAAAGCAGGTAAAAAGTTTAAGCAGATAGAGAATGTGCTTTTTAATAAATAATTCAGCATCTTCAACACAAAAGCACTGTCAAGTGAAAGAGGCTCTTTATGTGAATGCCTTTTCCACTTAATACTTAGTCTTATTTTTAAAAGAGAAGGATGACTAGTATAAATATTACAAATTTTATTATTAAAAATGTATAATGTGATTAATTGTGCTAAGGAATAAGACTATAACTAGTAATTGTGTTACAAATTCAATTTAATTCACAAAAAATTCTTAGATTTTTCATCCACAATTATTTTTCATTGTATTAATTAATAAGCACTTTACCTCGTGGCAAATAATTTCTAAGTTGTAATTTTTTTAATAGTTAAAGGAGTAGTTGCTCAGTTTTGGGTGGTTTTTTTAGCTAGTCCCACGAACTTATGATATTGACAGCACTCTTACTGAAGGAACTTGCATGTACAGTTACTACATTGGTCCAAACAATGACAAATGATAAACAACACAAATTTTAACATTAATGTACTTTAGAAAAACAGATCAACAGCATCTTTCTACCTGAATACATATGAAACAAGTACTTTGTGTTAAAGATGTGATGATAATAGCTTGGTTTGTAGTGCAGTTTAAAGCGACTTCCTTTTGCTTTTCATATCCAGGCAAGGCTCATATTTCACAAAATATGTGCACGTACCACAACAGCAGAGGGCACACCAATTCGTTAACTCAGATAGCGGAAACCAGTACACGTTCCAGAGGTCTCTCAAAACACAGAACTTAAAAGAGTCTAAAATGTCTTGAAATACCAACTGCACAGTTATTCTTTCTTCAAACACTGCTTCCAAAGTTCAGGATGGAAATAAAACTTCCACTTTAAACCTTTCCTTAGTTTTGAGGAAACTGCTAACAATGATTTAAGGATGACTGAAGTGTCACATTACAGTTAGTAACATTTAATTCACCGTATGGGTTTTAATGAGAATAATATGTTGGAAAAAACCCTTAAAAAAAGAAAATGGGGAGTTACATATGTAATAACCTTAGTTCTATCAGCAGGACAAAATTTTCCACTGACCACACGATAAGTATAACAGTAATGGCAAATGAGCACCAACAAAACTTTCACACATTCTCTGTGTGGAACTGGAAATCTTACCGAAACAGAATTGTTAGTGCTGCTATGACCATTAGCTGGGGACTGTCTGGATGTAGAGGGGGAATCTCTCTGAAATAAGACACAAGGTTCATTAACAACACAACACTATCACAGGAACACAGATATATTTAAAAGAACAGTTACATCCACAGCCTTATATCCATTTGCTTAGCTGCGTCATCTGTGAAAGCTTCCACACTACAAACTCCATAAATCCGAAAACTTTTTTCATAGTTTAAGATTCAGGTTTGACATTTTGATGTATCCTAGGTAATAACTATTTTTATATTGCCTTAGCAAACAGCTTTTTAATTACTGAGTATCTGGGACCTCTTAGATCTCATGTGGCTGACAATGCTGAAGGCTATTAGTTGTACTGGTGTCTTTGTTAAAAGCAAGTAACCTGAAAATGATATGCTGAATAATGCTTTGTATAGAATGAGGCACATATTCCATTTTAAAGACGCTTCTAAATCTTTTTCAGCAATATGGTGGAGGTCAGTGCTGACCAGTTCTACTCTGTACGATGCATCTCTCTCCAGTGTCTCAAAGGCACTGAAGCTAACACATAAGAAGGAAGCTGGATGCTCCCTTCTCCCTCCTCATCCATTTTACAGCATACTGAGGTTTTCTTCCCTCCAAAATTATTACAGGCTTAAAACCATTGCACTTTGCCAGAATATATCACTTTAAAAAAGCCACCTCTCTTAACTCAGACTACCAGCGTAATGAAAAAAAATTCCCCTTTACCCCTAAAGGAATTTTGGAATATAATATTCCATATCAAAGGTCAGTTTTGGAATGTCTATTAATTCTGCATAATGTCATGGATAGCAGAAAAAAAGGGCTAAAACAGTTTTCAAAGAAAACAAAGTTATCCCTGTCACATTTTACCAATACAAGTGTCCTCTGGGAACTAAAAACCAGAACTGCACCTAAACTGTTCATGCAACAACATTAATCAGGTAAAGGTCCTCTACTAACATTCTTGAACTTATACTGATTATGTGATAGCTATTTAAAAGCATCAAGAAAAGTTAAAATGACAGGCAATACTTTATCACTATTGCTGCCTGCATGCTTGACGTGCAACAAACTTGTGTAGAACTTCTGCACTTTTTTTGTAGACTCGTTAGATATGATTTCACAGAAAGTTCCATGTGTAGCAATCCAGATGCTTGCTTTGATTTTAACACAGTTGAGGACAGATCTGACAATGTTATGGCTGTAAAGTCATTGTGGTGCAATGTATGTAGACCTGTATACTTCTGCTACAATCATAAGTACAAAATGCTCATTTGGCTCCCACAACTATTTGCAACATGTAACAGACTGGGGGAAATCAGTTCTGATTCTATTTACAAAATCACTCCAGCACAACAAGTTTAAAATGTTCAAATGAGACCAAATAAGTTATTCATCACTGAAAAAAAAACAGAAAAAAGAAAAGCCTAAAGGAACCATTATTCCTTTTGTTTTGTGTATGGGATTATCAGCATCACCCTTATCAAATAGCAGCTAGGAGATACTTTTTTCCAAAAAAGCAGTGACTTTTTTCTTTTGTAATGAGATCTTCTGCTTGCTCTGCAATTCTGTCTCTGCCAATTTCTCACTTTCAAGAAGAGGTGAAAAATTAATTTTACCTTTTTTTTCTTTTTCTTTTTTAAACCTAGTTTGTTATGATCTGCTAGTCAGTGATGGTTTAGCAAGGGAAAGCTTTGGAAAGTGATGCAAACACCCAAGTCACTTGGAGAAAAACAAGTTCAGAGTAATTTGGAGAATGCCACTACTTCCGGACTCTCTTGAAGGTTTCTCCCTTTGAAGGAAATTTTCTTGGTTTGGGAATGTTTTGATTTGTATTCCTCCAACAATTCTCAACAGAAGACAGCATATTACTCAAAGCAAATGTTCATCATAACATACGGATGAAAACACACATTTTCAGTGCTACTGGTGATTTCAGTACTAACTGTAAGAAATTAATCTATCAAGCTAGTAAAGAGGCCTATGTACAATTTGTAAATAATTAGGCAGTTCAGCCACAGTTTCAAAGGCATTTAGATTCTTAATTTCTTAGGGACCTGGTCTTTCTTTCCAAAAATATCAGACTGAAAAGTTAAGAGAAAAACTGTATTATGCACAGTCTAATAAGATAAATTGATGAGTAGAGATCCTTGTAGAATGCTAGGACTACTACTACTAGAACTGGACTGGAAAACATCAGTTTTGGCTGTGCATTTATTTCTCCAGTAAATCAGAAAAAGCCCTAGTTCTCCTGGGGTTAAGAGCAGAAAAACACTTGGAGGATCCAATGATTCTGAGTAGCGTAGAAGTGTTATCATCATATTTAAGTATAACTTGACTATCTAGACTTCCCAATCTTGTCTAGCCCCAAACCAAATAACAAAATGGCAGTCTTTTGGATCCTTGCACTTCAGTTCAAGCACCGCAGCCGAAGCCTTAGAGGAAACAATCAGAATTATTTCCAAATGATGGCAAAACTACTTTCCCGTTGATTCCTTGTTCTTAGGTGTGGATTATGAATGATAAATAAATGCATTCGAGATGCAATCCTATAGCAGAAGTCAATTATGTCTACTAAATGTGACCTAATCAAATTAGATACTGACAAGAATAGCTGGATTAATGACACTGTTGCCAGATCCACAAAAGAAAATGAGAGAGACTTTCCAAAAACCTGAAAATACATTTCAATTTCAGTCTTGCTCAAGTAACCTTTCTGGCAGTATTTGTAATACAAATGTTAAAAAGGTTTAATACTATAAGAAGTCTTATAGTCTGAGCACTAATGGAAACATTGCAAGACTAAAGGAAAAAATCCATGGTGATTACCACCGTATTTTAAATATATATATATATACACACACAAACACACATATATACAAAGGCTTTTTGTCTTAATGAAACAACTTAAGTGTTTCACAAGGATAATCTGAAACATAAAGAATGCTTATATGGACAGCTTTTTGTACAAAAAAAAAAAAGTACTTCCCTTACCATTCTCACATGTCTGACACTATAAAAAGTTACTCGGAGTGTTTTGTCAGTACAAAGTAGGAATGCAAATGTAGATAGAGCAAAATGCTTTCTCAGTTGGATAAAGCTGAAACTCATAAACAGCATACTCGGTCATCAGCCATAAGAAGAATGTGTTGCAATAATTACTTAAGTTCGTATTTATGTAAGTCTGTAATTTCCTGCATATCTGAAGCAGAAAACAGAACATCCTGGCCAATGCGTTATCTACATAGCTGAGTAACTCAGGCCATTTGTCACACCAATGACTAAACAGGTCATCTCACAGCAGGTCAGCTGATCACATTTTTATACAAGGGAATTGATAAGTATTATGTTTTCAAGTCTACTCCATGAAATAGAAGGTCTGGTAACTGAACGGAAGGCATGGGTGCAGGAGAATCCACAAATCCCTAAATGACTTGAAATTATTCAGTTGAGATTTTGGAAACTGCCTAGTGACACTGAAGTACCATTACATACTATATGGACAAGACTTCCCTAAATATGCAGAAGTGGCTTAATATTCAGAAAACACCACTACAACGTTACTCTTAAATGCCTACAAAAGAAGAAAAATATGGCAAGTGAAATGCAAATCTCGGTTATTTAAAAAAAACCAACATCCCAAGCCCCCCTCACCTTTGTATATAAAGGCACATAGACAGACCCTATATAAAAGGCAGATCACTTCTGATTCTACTGATATTTAATATTTCTTATTCAAGATTAACAAGATGTTTTGCAATCCAATGATGTGATCATGGTAGGAGCCTCAAAAACCCCCCCAATTATCAATTCTGTTTTATATTTGTTTTCTGGTAAAATTATACTACATGAGCACCAGTCCACGACTGAAGGGACTGGGGGAACCAAATAAATGTATACTGAAGTATTGCCAAAAAATATCTTAACTAATAAGATTATACTAGTGAAGATCCAATATCTCTGAATTTATCCTGCTAGAGAGCTTTTTGTTTCTCAGTAATGTCATTCAACATTCATTTTTAGCCTTTATTAATGGTTAAGAATTTGATTTATCGTCTGAATCACAATCCCAAAAAACTCTGTGAAAAAAGTTCTCTCTGTACCAAAGGACTAGAGATGCTTTAATAGGGTGATTTAAAAATGTTGGCTTTTTGTAACAGCTGAAAACATAGCCAAAGCAGGTAGAACAGACTCAGCCACCTCTGATTAAATGAATGTTAAATGCTGCAAAGTGTGACAATTGGACATGCTTTTTTTTTTCCTCTTTGATCACACATTTCTAGTTTTGCTGTTTTTTCCAAAGGAAGGTCAGAGTTCATTTTCTTCTCTTCCATGAAATAAATAGTCATGAAGAACCTAAGGACACAAAGCTAAGGAAAAGAGATGACCTGCTACTAAAATATCAGCTAATGCTATTAATTTAAAGCTGCATACTGAATTATTTTCTCCAAATAATAATCTTCCCAGAAGGTACATAGTTTCACCAATTTCAGTATTTTAATATTGGGAAGTGAGATACCGTTTATTACTACTGCTATTTACAGCACAGAAGTCAATACATAAATTTGCGAGCACACTCTAGAATTTCTATTTGAGTTTTTTTTAAAAGCCTTTGGATTCCATGAAAAGCTTCTGCTTTTATATTACACCTTTTAAGAAAATAGGCCTCACAGGTGAAAATTTGTCAAACCTTCTACCTCTAAAACCTTTTAGTTCTTGTTGACTTTTAATAAAAGTACAGAAGGCAACCAAAAAGCAGTAGTTTTTTGCTTTCAAACAGATTGTTCTGACAATCACAATAGCAGTTTCTGTGTGTTCTAGCATCTGCTGAGACACAAAAACAATTAAGGTGAAATCACAGCTCTAATTAAGATAAGGTGCTTGACTTCAACAGGGATTGTGATTTCACTCTTGGAATTCTAATTTGGGAACTGTTTGCGCAGTTAAGCATGTGGCACAGAAAGACTGGCATCATCTACATAGTGCATATGCCATCTGTATGCTTAAATTGGAACAGTATCTCTCAAGTTGCCATTTTCTAGAATTTAATTCCCTTCAGTTGCAATCTGGAACATAACTATGTGAGCAGAAGGGAATTAAACGTTACTGTGCAAAAACCATAATACCAAATTTCTAGTTCAACAAGAACTAACTCCAAATCTGTTTTTCTTCTGTAATGACAAATACCATTTTTCCATGGAAACATAATATTAAGCCATGTGTAACTGTTACAGACAATCATCACAAATTTACCTCAACAGGGTTATACAGAAACAGATTCTTCAATTAACCCTTAACAGCCCAAAGCAGTAAAATAATGTTTAATGCCTAAACACAGCAGGATTGTTCCTCAGCTTAGGAACTTTAATAGACTGCCTGGAGAATGAGTTTAAATCATGATTTTTTTAAAGGGGCTTCCTAAATGCACGAGATGAGAATCCCCTTTCCTACTTTTTTTTTTTTTTTTTAAATAGGCTGTAAAGAGTTAGTTAAGGTGCTGATGAGATGAATATGGAGGCAGGGCTGAGTAGGTAGTTGGGACCTACTCGTGTTCCGTTATCTTTGTTGTAAAATTGGTGTGCGTGATCTAACAGGACAGGCAGAAACAATTTCCCAGAAAGCAGTAACATTCAGCCATCAGCAGGCAGTTAGTTACAGGACTGAGGAAGAAATGGGATGGTTCATTAAATTCATTACCTCACAGGATGAGGATTGCGTGCGGTAACTTGGCACAATCTTAAAGGTGATACTTCCACGCATTTCCCTCTGCAAAAAGAGAAGCACTTGTTTAAAGACTAAGACACTGAAGATAAAATCTCCAAATCAATAATGTTTGAAATGAAAGCTTCATAGTTTGAGAGCAGCAGTATGTTTTCCTAAATTCAATATTCAGAAAAGCTAAAATGCTATGGTTCGTTTGTCATTTCACTTAGAAACAAACAATTAGATCATCTATTATTAATCTGAAAGATAAACATACATTATTAGTTTGTTCGCCTGACCAGCTTTGGAATGCCTAGAACCTACAGCTGTATTTTAAGTCAAGGTATAAACAGATGTGTAGGTTTCTTCCATCAATCTTTTCTTTGCAACTACAGTCTTGTGATCCACTTGGTCTTTAATACTAAAGTGATATTTTCTTCCCTTTCATCATACATGTTAAATAGTAAAAGCTTATTCACAGTTTCTGGAAAGCTGCATGTTACTCTACTAAAGGTAGAAATGTAAGAAATGATCTTTCATCAGAACAGAACACGGCGTCTGCTAGTTTGCATTTACTATAGTATAAGAATATTCATAACAAGTAGTAACTGCAGAATAGCAGCAGATTGCAGCAACTATTTGCTCAGCCATATTTACTTAAATGACAGTTTGAATCTAAGTGCCACCACAAGGCTGACAACTGCAGGACTCGATCTGGGCAGAAAAGCAAGCAGATCACTTCAAGGGATCTTGGAGTTTTTCTCCTTTCTTTCTTTGACTGGCTTATAGTGAGCCAAAAAAAAAAAAATGCTATTTGCCTGGACTCACTTAAGCTTCTCTACATAGTTCTGGACACAACAAAAGGATTAGTGGTATCATCTAAGATCCCAAGATTAGGGATGCATGCAGAAAAATTTGCAAATATTATGGAATATCAAACTGACTCTACTAGCAAGGCCCAAGATAAAGTTTTCCTGCAAAAAGCCAGACTGTCACAGCTCAAAATATTTTTTTTCTTTGTAACATCAACAACCATGAGACACAATAGTTATAAATTGAAAGAAGGGATCTTCCAGCTACATATGAGGAACACATTTTTCCCTAGGATAATAATTAGGTGTTGGAACAAGTAGCCCAAAGAGGCACCTGTCCTCTCAAATCTCTGTCCTTGGATATTTTCAAGGCTTAACCAGACAAAGCCCTGAGCAACCTGTGCTGAATTCAGTGTTGACCCTACTTTATGCAGGAGATTGGAGTGGAGAACTCCTGAGGTTAATTTCAACCTGAATGTTTCTATGATTTATTGTCTTTGTATTTGTACAGCAATTATACTAATAGGCAAGAAAAGTTTCTCTTCTCTCATAGTATACTCAGTATTTACACTTACTGTAGCCTGAAGATTTAAAATAAGGGCATGATCTTTATAGACTAACTTAGGATGAGTAATAGGAGGAAAGCAGTATTTTTTCTGATATGTTTCCTAGAGGCTGCATTTCAACGTTCAAGTTCAAAGGAAACTCAGACATTAGAAAAAACTTTCTAAAATGTAGTAGAGTTATACACTAAATTCAAGTGCCCGTCGAGTCTGGGGAACCTCCATTACTCAAGTTTTTTAAGAGCTGGTCAGACATACATCTGTCAGGATTGGTTGAGTGTCAATGACCTTTTCTGTGGGACTAAATGGAACAAATAAAATGACACGTGGATGTGCGATCTACCATTCCTGGATATAATGTGCAAAACAGCAACTACTGAAAAACAGGGGAGAGCCTGTAGAAGGCTTTAACAGCTGAACACAGGAAGACTGTGTTACATGCCCATGTAGGCTATCCAGAAAAGAAGAAAAAGGGGAAGTCACAATACAATTAGATAAAAGTTTTGTCAAAGTAAGACAGGCGCTTTTATAAAGAACATAAGAAAGATTTCAGGCACTTACAAGCATTTTTTGTAGTTGTTCTACAGTTTGATTTGCCACACTGATTCCATTTATTTCTCGGATTTCATCCCCTACATGTAGTGTACCTGTGGAGTTAACAAAAACCACAATCGCCTCAAACACACTTTTACAAGTTGAGATAATTGTAAGACAGTACTAATATTCATACGAAGGCATAAATATGAAACAGCATTAAAATAATTTTTTTTGCTAGATTGAGAAAAGGACTTTATAGCTATGTATTCGCTACTCTTTCAGTCAATACACCAGCATGGGATGCCCAGGCACCCTATAAAGTACATTTGGCAAACATCAGTCCCTTACAAGGGCACTGCAAAAACCCACACATTGAAAAGAAAGTCACCTGCAACTAGTCAGCTGGAAACATTCACCAGAGATATTCAAGCAGTATTTTATCAGGTGACTATTTATTGCAGTTTGGCTTCTGGACCTAAGTCTTAATTTTCTCTGTCAGACTGCTGTATTTTTTCATTTCTCTCATTTTGATTTGCCATAGTTACAGTATGCATTTTCTGCATGTACACTTTACTTCAGTTGAACGTAAATGACTGGTGTGACTACCTACAATATTAGATGATGAAACAAATATCTACTTAGCTTAGGCAAGTCATAAACTGACCTGCTGAAGCTGGGATGGGAATGGCATGCTACAACATGTCTCTAAGACACTACAAAAGCTCAACAGGAAGGAGGCAGTGAGTGAATTATTTATCTTCAGGATTAGAAGCAACCTAAGAGGATGTTTTTTGGATGATGACTTCTCATGTCAGTAGCTCAAGCCCACCTAATTTTCTAGCAATTCTCCAAAAAAACCTTCCATGGTTTATTATTAGCCGGAAGAAGTTTTTCATATATGGTGAAATATGACAAGACCATTTACTTCACATATATTTCTTTCTGCTCTATGATTTTAAAAAAATGTGCAAGTATCCTTTTCTAAGTACTGTACCTAATATAATTAATCTTACTTGGAAAAGTAGCAACTGGCAAACATTTCCTAAACTAAAACATATCTATAGAAAATTACCTGAAAAAAGTCAATCAACTAGAATCCTGAAAAATCCTTAAAATTCTTTTCCTGAACCAAAATAGTCAGTTTTTTCAAAGAATACCATGCATGCAGAACTTTCAGCTGGACAAGCGTATGAAAATCAAACTGTGTGCCTGCTAAACACAAGCACAGCCTGAGCCAAGGAGAAGAATCCTGAAAAGCTCTGTTGCCATGATTCCCTTTGGGCTCTCTTCTGTGAAACAGAAGCTCACTTGGCAGTGCTACAGGAGAGAACCCAAAGTTTACAAAAACTTTCAGTACTCTCAAGGGTAAGTCCTTCAGCTACATTAAAAGCTCCAAACAATTCTACAGGAGCTGATGTGCTGATAGTGAAATTATAAAAAAAGACTCATCATAATTCTTCTTGCACTCTTCAGTGGAAAAATTCTCACAATTAATAGTTTACTGAATGTGAATACAACAGTCCTGCATCTAAGTTTCAAATTAATCTACTTCACATCTAGAATATTAATGACCAAATCTCTAGTGAAACACCCTGAAAATTCAGTTTTGGTAGACTTTCTCAGGAAGGCATTCACTACCCAATTCTTAAAAAAATATTCCAAAAAAATGAGGCTCTGTGTTGACTGTACCATGCCAAAGTTAAATTGTATTTGAAGTGAGTGTAATCGTTATTAAACAGTAATGCTGAATCAAGGAAGAGCACATGCCCTGGAAAGGTACAAAGATTCTCTGGCATTATCCAAAATATAAATCTGATGGAATTAAATATTAGAATGAGAATTAAGACTCAGTAATAGCCCTGTATCAAACCATTTCAATAGCACACTTAAATAAAATTCTTTCTTCTGGAGCATTTCTCACTTCTGTAACTCTCACAGAAGTGAATATTGTTCTGTTCATGCCTGGAATGGAGCAGTATACATAAAAGTTGGGAATAAAGTATGGACACTTAGCAGTAGATGGTCATTCTGCTTTGAGGGGTGGAGACATTGATAAACCATAGGAAGAAAAAGGAGGAGGTTTTTATGATTTGCAGAAACTTTTTACTCTAGATAAATATTCTTGTTGGAAAATAGTATTCTTGACATCTTTGAATAATAAGTCTTCTGTACCATTTGTAGCTCCTGTGATTCATATGCTTAACCATCTAATTTTGGTTGCTTTTGGTTCCTTTTCTATTGGCAATGCAGTGTTTATTTAGAACTTAAGCTATTCATGACTTACTGATTTACAACACATCTGTAATAACAAAGAATGGATGTATTTCTGGAGTAAATGATTTCCTTCTTTGTCTTTGCAAGTCAGAGTGAAGACAGTTTTAGGAAGCGTGTGCTCTTGCTCTGCACAGAAGTAGGAGAAATCCTACCCTATTAGGAAGACGACAGAACAAATTCTTGGAGTCTCTATTTGGAAACATGTTTTGTAGCCAAAAGAAAATTCTGTAGCTTGGAAAGTAAAAGGCTGTGAATGTATAATCATATTTTCATAAAATAATCACACACTTTTTGTTAGAATTGAATAAAAGTTATCAGGGGTATCAGTGTTTTAAAAATCTGTGTGAGTTTTACATTAAGTCACTTTGAGAATATAGCATAGAGAAGAGGAGGCTGAGGGGAGACCTTGTCGCCCTCTACAACTGCCTGAAAGGAGGTGGGGGTCCGTCTTTTCTCCCAAGTCATAAGTGATAGGATGAGAGGAAGTGGCCTCAAGTTGTGTCAGGGGAGGTTTAGATTGGATATTAGGAAAAATTTCTTCAGTGAAAGAGTGGTCAAACATTGGAACAGGCTACCCAGGGAAGTGGCTGAGTAACCATCCCTGGAGGTGTTCAAAAAATGTGTAGATGTGGCACTTCGGGACATGGTTTAGTAGGCATGGTGGTGTTGGGTTGATGGTTGGACTTGATGATCTTGGAGGTCTTTTCCAACCTTAACAATTCTATGATTCTATTATTCTATGATAGACCATGTACAACTGCTGTTTTTCTGGTGAGGTTAAATGACCAGCCAATAAATACTTTCTCTTCTTTGGAAATCTTTTAAAATGCCATATTAGGTCCTCTTCCTAAATGCATTTTAAATATTAATTCACATTCAAGCACATATGGCCCAAAACAAGTCAGCAGCAAAAAAATCAATGGGTACTGTGAGCTGCTCAGGCTATAAGCAGATCCCCTGAAAATAATATTTACAGTACAAGTAGTCTAAACAGAATCCACAGGTAAAAAGTGAATGCAGAAATGAGCTAATTTAAGGCATAGACACACGGGTGACAGCCAAGACAAAATTAAAAGCTTGATATCTAAGATACAATTCATTTCCTTATCCGAAAAAAGCAGACAAGTCAGCAAAAAGAAATTTTTAATGACTGAAACCACTGTTTCATTTTCACTGAGCTCAGTCCTCTGGAAGGTGCAAGTAAATAGCATCTTTACAAGCCTATCTCCCTACTTCAAGTTTCCCACCTTTTGAATAAGGACAACTATAATCAGCAGGACTAGATACAGCTGGCATAGAGGTAGGAGGCAGACTTCACAGCAGCTACTATTTTGTGATTGGGAATTGCGCAGTTTGTACTTAATATTGCTAGACTTGAAATTATGTAGTTCCTGTAACCCTCCCAGTAGATCTAATATCTAGTCGTTGCTCTTATTGCCTGACAGTTTTCCATATAGGAAGAGGAGGCAGCAGACACACAACAAAAAAAAACCCTGAAACACATAAAAACCACAGACCCTGTCAATAGGATTCAAAGACATGTTGTGCTCGAGATCAGTGTCAACTTACATTTGCTTGCTCTATTCAGTAAAAATATTCTAAACATAGGTATTTTGAACAAAGCAGTGAAGCTAAGAGGCATCTAGAGCATTAACAAAATTAGAAACATTTAAAAAACTGCTACAAAACCACTGAAGTATAGTTCATTTTCAAACTAAAGCTATGAGCTACCTTAGATGAAGCACATATAGAATGGGTTAAATTTCCAAATTTTTTAGAAATAAAAGACACTGTATCATTCAAAAGAAAAGAACAGAGTTCTAATGAGGTTTTAACAGGTTTTAAAACTTTTATCACACCCATTATGGAACAGAGTCATGTGAACAATGCTCTGCAGAGGATCACCACTACCTAAGCACATTTGGATGAAAAACTTCTTCCTGTGAATCTTAGAGCAATCTCCTTTTAAAATACACTTTCAGAAGCCAAATAAATTTCAATTCAGAGGTTCCTCTAAAGGAATATGGAAGTCTCTATGAATTGCATCTTTGCTTGCATGAAAAGTTTTCTCTTTCCTGCTTCTTGACAGGTTTGATCATGTCAAGGAGATGAAGTGAATATATCAGGGAAATGATTGCTGTACCCTTTCCCTGTTTCACGTTTTGTCTACCTAATTACCTGTTCCTAGCTTCCTTTGAAATAGAATAGAAGGCTAGAAGAATCTTTGGTCTGACAAATGATGAAAATTTTTGTGTTCAGTAAAAGAAAAAGATGGCCAACTGGAAAAACTAAAGTAACCCTTTCAAGGGTGCAATCTAAACTTGCAGCTAACAACCTAGCAGGGAAGTTTATCTGTTTAAAGCCCAGCTATTTTTTGACATCTGATCTGGACACACAAAATGGAAAAAAGAAGTGGACTGGAGATGAGAAAAGACGCATGTCTGCAGGGTTTGCTATAGTAGTGAAAACTAAAAATAAAGATTCAAATTCTAGGCACAAGAAATATTTTTATTTCACAAATTGTTTTTATGAGCCTCAACATCAAAAGTACAAAGATCTTCAATGGAGAAATTTATTTTTTTTGTTGAAAAAGCTCTTCCATTTTTGCAAGGGAAAGCACTGTAACTAGTCTAAGGATTTTTTTTTTTTAAACAGACTATGAAATAAATACAGCTCCAGAAATCATTGGCATTTCAATCTTTTCCTGAGCTATACTCCCATTATCCTAATTAAGGCCTAAATGAAACATAGTGGGCCCTTAGCTCAAAGTGCTCGAAGACATCTGCAACTAGAAAGTAACAGAGGCAGCTAACAGGACTCCATCCAGATACAGAGGTACACTAATATGGAATAGTAGCAATCAAAATGAGGAGCATGTACTGTTACGTGGTTTGTACAAAATGATCTAAATAACTGTGTTTGGAGACAAAACTATTTATGACACATGATTACCTTGTCGGTGAATCATTCCTCCGTGCATAATTCTTGCCACAATGCAATGGTTCAGCTCATTCATTTTTAAAGTGATTCCCTACAAAAAGAAATGTTTATAGTCTTAAACTAAAACACGAAGCAGTGTGATTCTTGCGTAGTTAAGAACAGTAATTTTTCCTAAAAGCTTGAAGGCAGGGTATAAATTTTAAAGTTAAAATAAAACCTTTGCCACTCACTTAAATATGAGCAATGAAAACAGATACTATTTGTAAGGGAAGATGCAATAATTTAACTTGTAAGCATATAAGATTCTAGTTTGTTAAAAATGTAATTTTGTATTGAAGTGCAAAGTGTCCAGTTTGGTTTAAAGCCTAATCTGCTGTAACTACTACAAGGTTGTTTTTAAACAAAAACAGCTCCAGTGGTACAGCAGTAGTATGAATGCACACATAGCATTTTAAGTTAAGGATATACACGGGAGTATAGGTATCTACAATGTCTGCTGAAGTATTCCAATTATACTGGTAACCCTACTCCAAAGTGCAGAAACTGTCATTAGAATAATAATTCTGGTCTTCACCAGTACAGAGTCAGGAAAAATACTCAGGTTGCCTCCATACCATTGGTTCATCTGTGTTCTTCTGGAACTGCACGAGTCGAACTCGTGTTACATTCTCCATATCCATGTCGCCGTTGGCGCTTTCTGGAGAATCTCCATTTAAGTATGGAGAGGTGGGAGGAGGCGTAACTCTCAGCGCTTCATCACTGTAAACTTCATGTGCCACTACATCATGAGTTTGAAGTAAGGCCTAGAAGAGATTACAGCAACAAAATATCAGACTTCCATCATCTCTGATGCCCCCCACTCATTCCTTACAAGTTTTTTTTAAGTTTTCCAGAAATGAAAGGAAATTCAAGATAGTTGTGTCTCACTTTCTATACAGGAACTTCTCCCTTAAAGGAGTCTAAGACAAACTTCAGCAGACTGCATGCACACCTAGCCAGCCTTTAAAATCTGCATGAGTAAACCTGATTTTCTACTGTAGATACCTCAATGAGAATGATGCTGCCTTTTCCCCCATCGCCTTGACACCTGCAAGGTTTCAGAATTAATCCATCTTTATTTATGTGCTAGACACAGAATCAGGAAGCTAGCTTTCTGAGCAAACTATTCTATAATAATTACTGAATAATCTGAATTATTTATCATAATAAAATGAAAATGTGTTCAGATCCTGTGGTATTTCATTCTAATAGACTGTGGATTGGTACAGACTGAAAGAATGAAACACTGTTTTTTATTGTCATAATCAATTCCATATTCTCCCCTTCCCCTAGAGCATGGACCTAGCACAATCACACTGAGTTCAAAATACCTGACAAAAATGACAATCTAAACCAACGAACTGCTCAAATATTACTTCATTAGTTTCATTCTGTTCCTTGATGCAAAGAATGGTACAACATGTAATCGATGAAATGTATTTAACTATCTTTGATAAGCAGAACTGACTGTGTAAGAACTCTAAGCTAGGGCAAAGACATGAAGCCTGTATAAGTGTAAAAAGTGTAACATAGTATTACGATAGAAGTTGGACAAAGTGTAAACATTTGCAAAGCAGTATTCAACAGTACCAGGCTTTTTTGTGTTATGACATTCCACTGTTCTCCAGGGTATCTTTAAGAGCGCCGTATCACATCCATTTCATATCTGCATTCAACTCTTAATGATGAGTACATTATAGCTAGCTTGCTTCTGTCCCAAAACTAAATATGATTTATATGTGAACATGCTAGTTCTACTCCTATATTAGGCTATATAGATATCCTAGGTATCTATACAGATATAGGATATATCTATATAGATATCTATATCTATATATAGATATATAATATCTATATCCTAATATAGATATTATCTATCTGTCTAGACCCCGCCTCTATACCCAAATAGACAGGTTTCTCAGTTAAGGATTGAAAAATCAAGCCTATTTCTTACAATATCTCTACAATAGTTTTTTTTTAGAGATATCAGCCGCCACTACAGTTAGGCTAACCTACATTATAGTTAACATCTTGTTAGTTTTCATTTCAATGCTCATAGCTCTTAACCTGCAAAACTCATCAGTCTTGCAAGGCTTGAGATTGACCATCTAGAAATTGTTTTGGCAGAGAAATCTCACTCTGCAATGTCTTACTCTTCGATTAAAATGTTTAAGCAGAACTTAAATTGAAAAAAGTGATAAAAAACCATCCCTAGAAGATCTATTTCTGAGGTGGAATCCAAGTCAGAAATGGGATTTTTATGGCCTCTACAAAGTCCTAAATTTGTTCCTAAGCTAGCACTTCTAAACTGTACCATGTTACAGAAGATAAATTCATAAACAGTTTAACTTCCCTTTCCTCAAATCAGTTTCAAACCATAGTTGGGAATTCAGCATTATAATGATGGAACGGAATTCCCTAAACTAGCAATGCTCTGCCCGCATTCCCTCCTGTTTTTCCAGTGTTTCAAGCCCACTGACACAAACGCTATTTTAAATTAAATACTAAACTGTATCTGCATTTTCTGGTTTTCATCTTATTTTGTTAACCACTAAGCTCAAACCTGCAACAATTCCTCTGCAATAGTCTGTATTACTGAAGCAACATTTTATATTTAGAGATCTGGACCATATATGTAAGTTAAACCACTTTAAGTCAATTCTTAATGTGATTTATTTAATTTGGTGTAACCTTATGTGTGAATACTCCTATACAGGTTTAGGGATTTGGCTGAATTCTCATGCTAGTATCTGAAAACTGTTTCCAGTTGTCCCAAATAAGACAAGAGCATCCATGTGCAATCATGCCTTAGCTCTGGCTGTTATGAACACCATCCATCTAGGAGTGTGCGTGGTCCTGGCTTTGTGCGCAAGCACTCTTCAACAGAGTAGGATGATCTTCTCTGCTTCCTTCAGCTCAATCTACTTAAAGCTACTTACTTAACTTCATGTATCTGTTATACTCCCCACGCTTTAATATTACATTTCTTATGTAATTCGGGGCCTGACATTTGTTTCAATGCCAAATACTTGCCTCGCTTAAAATATGGTAATTTGAACAGTTTTAAAGGTTCATAATTATACTAGTTGATTTCTCAATGTGTTAACAAAAATTAACACAAATTCAGAAACACCAGCTATTAAAGTACAGCAAGCTCAATTTAAATATTGAAAACATTTAATATAAAGAATGCTAGTGGACTTTACTGAAAGATACTTGTTTTCATACATTTCTGTTAATTTGGACAATTTAGATTTTTTTTTCCTGTCTCCTTCCTTTGCAGAACATGATAATCCTGCTGAAAATTAGTTTAGTGAGGAAAAACTGCCTTCTACTATATTGCACGATCATTGTCTGCAAAGAACAGGGTAGGAAGGCACATGATGATGGATAAAACTTCAATATGTAATTAAGTAAAAGTCCCCTAGTATAGCAAACATTTCAATTGCTTCATAGTAAACATATATAATAGAACCTTTTACAGATAAAACTGTCGCCTTTGAAAAACCACTCAAAGTTGTGTAATGGAATAAAAGCTCCTTGAGATTTGCACACAATGAATGAGGTACTTCATAATCTTTTACAGAATTCTTAAATTAATTATCTACGGAAAGATCTTTATGCAAAATTTACATACATTTCTTTAATTAAAATGTTAAGCATGTACAGACTAAATTTATAATTTATTCCTGTACTCATAAGGCACACAAGGGTAAAACAAAACTAAAACAACAAAAAACTTTGAAGATCTCAGCCCCAGTTAAGAGTACTTACAAATGCATTCTTTATTGGCTTTGGTTCTGTAAAGGTCTATACATAGTCTAAATCACTAACACGGTATTTAAGTAAATGAGACAGACTATACTCCATTGTCTTCTGATTAGATAATAATACAAATAATAATAGAATACTCTGTTATCATACACGTGTCAACGCAGATGATCCTACTTATTACACCTTATTGCTTTGGTCTCTGTGCATCAATGCTCAGCAACTTACTAAACCAGAGTATTGCTCTGTACAATGCTTGGTAAACACATTGAGCGTAGGCTGGCAAAACTGTTTTATATAATTATCTCTTTTCCTAAGAGTATCTATTTTAAAGGCTTTGGCTCTGAAGGGAAGTTAGGCAGAATGCCACATACGTAAGAATAATTTTGTAAGGTCTGTTACCTAATAAAAGGTGTGTCTGGGAGCAGGAGTGGGAATGATGGGAGAAGATAGGATTGCTTCTTTGACATCTGGAGACTCTTTGGTACCTGCACCCTAAAGGTATGGTTCCACTACAACATACACTGATTTAACTGCTGCTTTACATGTTTGTGCCATTCCCTATCCCAGCCTGTATGTTTCTCTCCCCTTGCTCATTCTGGCTCTGGCAGTATTCCAGTTGTCCCTAATTCTTTTTGCTAAAGTGATCGCTGTTTTGGTGGAGCAGTTTTCTACTAGTTTAGCACAGTGCAATACCGAATTGCAGTGTCAGATGAATGTCAGAACAACCGCAGGGGAGATGATGAAACACTGGGAGAAGGGATGGGACTCCATCAACTAGCAATTTAGCCTGGGATGCCATAGACTAACTTACTGAAATTACTCCTCATCAAAAATACTTGTTACAGAATTGCCTATTCCTTATAAAACAAATACCTTTTATAGAACTGCAGCAAAAGAATTCTGACAGATGGTTTTAAATTTATGAGGATATCAGGTGGAAATAGAGGTACCTATAAAAGATTATTTCCAACTCACTTTTCTTGTTGCTTGATTTGATACATTAAATTTTTATATGGCACAATCATTTTTATTGATGCCTACTCTGAAAATAATTTATACTTAAGAAATGCTCTTTTTCCACAGTGCCTAATTTTTTTTGCAATACTGTGTGGTAATTATGCAAAAAAGGTAAATCAAATGAACCTGTCAGATTCCAAATACAGAAGCTGAGTACCAGAGAGTACTGTTCTTGGTTTTTGTTTTTTTTTTGTTTACATTGTTCTTACAATATGGCTGAGTACCATTGCACCTTGTTTTATGTTCTATTTCAAGCAAATATTCCTGTTAAATGTTGAACCAGATTTGTTACATACTTCAGGATAGGTATCACCTCCAGGCAATGACACACCAGTGTGTTGCTGAGTACAACATAAAAAGCCAATATCTGCATCAACAATTAGTGCAATGAAATAGGAATGGATCGACAAGTAGAACTGTTGGGTTAGTGAGGACCTGATGTACACAATGAACACATTGCAGGTTTTACTTCTGACCAGCTTCCATCTTGCCCTGTGGACCGAATGCCCATCAGCTGCTGGATTACACTGGCTGAGCTTCTGGTGTACATTTTCAAGTTTAATTTTATCTGAAAGGAGCCTAGTTTGCATGCTTTGAGACTCTTACATGATACAAGCCAAAGCATTGTAAGGGGACAATCAGGAGATTCACTTCAAAAACACACTCCTGATCTGATTTAAAGTACAAAAATAAATGCATCCAAAGCTTAAGTGGCCATCAAAAGAACACACTGGGATATGCAGCTATCCAGATTTCATCT